CTGAACGTCCATTTTGCTCCTGGTCGGTAATCTTAATACACAGCGAAATAAAACCAACCAAAAAGGTTAGAATAATTTTACACTTTTGGTTGCCCTGACTTTCCTAATTTCCTGTAAGCCCGAGTTAAGGCCCAAAAAAAAAAGTAATCGGTCTCTGGTCAGACCGAAGTTCCGGAATAGATGCGGAGACGTGTTTTTTTTTTTTTTTCAAGCTTGAATTGTACAGACAAGGTTGGTACTATTTTGCTTTTTTGTGTCCTCATTATACATTGGTGTCCTCAATAATTTGCCTTGGTGCCCTTTATCATTTGCCTTGGTGCAATCTCCCATTCCTTGGTGCTCCTTGGTACAAAAATTTGAGGAGGTGCGGCAATAGAGGGCGCTGTTGTAGCTTCCGTGTTAATTTGAAGAAGAAAAAAAGGTTGACGCGCAAGATAAAATCGACGCGCGCGCTGACCAGAGACCGAGGTTTTTTTTTTTGGCCTAATCAGTAACTTATTTTTATCTAGGGACCTTCAACTCCAGAATATTGTGATTTTATTTATGTTATTTATTGATTTATTTATTTCGTGTTATTTTACCAGGGTAGCCCCAGCAGCTGTCAATGAACTGTTCTCCCTGGGGGCCCTGGATAATGAAACGTACTTCTTACTTCAAATTTCAATCCTGGACACAAAAGCCCACTGTGAAGTAATTGTGACTGTCACCGATCCCCAATTCTGAAAATCTGAATCCTCGCCACCCAACTGGTGTATATGCTGCAGCCGATTTCACGAAACTTGACGCAATGGCATAAGTCCATTTGCGCCACAATTTACTGCGCAAGTTGAGCAACGTTGCGCGGTGTGAAATGTTCAGTTATGACAATTTCACGAACGTTTCATAGTGCGTTAGTCCGCGACTTGCGCAATAATTTATGGCGTTACTTGCGCTATCATTTTAAGTGGCGTTAGTTGTGGCGTAGGGCCTGAAAATGTACTTGTACCTCAGGTGGGTGTATCTAGTAATTTGGAGGCCGTTTTGAGGGTGAAATCTGATGTTTTTGTTGGGCAATGTTGGGTTTTGGGTCAATGACAGAATTGTGTTGCTCGGCATATAACCATTAGCTTGGACCCCACTATCGCCAGACCATGTCCGAATGTTAAAAAGGCGATAAGTTGGGTCCAAGTTACTCGGACTATTCCAATACATGCTTTGAAATTTAAGCCTCCAGGCCCAAGTCCATCATACTCCAAGGGCCTGCAGGACAGGCCCCACAGTCCACCACTATGGGGGGGGGATGGATTTTGATGGAGTTGGGAAGGTAAGGTTTAACAAACGTTTATTCTAGATACATTAAAGAGGTTGTGGAATGCTCGAAGACATTTCCGTCATTTTTCGGGTATATGTAGCCTAAGGTGTGATGAAATAAAAACGACTATTGTTTCTGTCATAAAATGAGTACAAAAGGTACTTTTGAGAGCTGTTTTTCAAGTCCTGTCATGCCTGTTTCGACCCGAAGGTGCAATTTGTGTAAAAGTCGTCGTTGCGGGCAGCAAACAAAACACAGTAAATCGTGACGTAATAAAACAGGACTCCCGATGCAGAGTAGCATAAACGAGTCCTGTTTATTACGTCACGATTTACTGTGTTTTGTTTGCTGCCCGCAACGACGAACTTTTACACAAATTGCACCTTCGGGTCGAAACAGGACCTGAAAAATAGCTCTCAAAAGTACCCTTTGTACTCATTTCATGACAGAAACAATAGTCGTTTTTATTTCATCACACCTTAGGCTACATATACCCAAAAAATGACGGAATTGTCTTCGAGCATTCCACAACCTCTTTAAGTCTAGAGATTCAATACTGAAGGATAGAAAGGCAGATTTTCTTCATAATTGTACCTGCACTAGCGTACCACACAGGCAAACGGTACTCTCCTCCAAGTCCGAAAAGGCAGCCAAATTCAATCCCTCCAGAACAAACTCAGAGAAACCCAGCAGGACCCGGTTATCAGGGGGTAGGGTGATGAACAACCGGCAGTACCGCGGTATCGAAAACTTGTCCGGGTAATGGGGCGAAGTGATGGTTCCGCTTGGGCTGGTGTAGGTCCGTTCACAGGCTACAGAAATGAATAGGACAATTGATTATTCTTTTACATATGGATACAACTGTACTATTACTACTACTAAGTTCTGTGTGTGTCTTCAAGTTCTATGAAAATCTAGTAAATATAACTGGGAGCTTGAACACTTTTTTGTTTTGTTGGCAAATTATCAAAATATAAAAAAACAACGCAGTATTTATTGTTACGGCAGTCGACTGTCTGGTTCCCTGACCTGACAATATTCAATCAATGTCAGGATCTTTGCTCCTTGGAACCAGACTTTCGACCAAACTGTTCTCAGACTTTTACTTTCCCTTTTTCAAATAATCCTCTAAAGCCACGGATTACGAAAAAAACAAAATGAAATCTAGGCCTACTTTAAAAAGTAGGATTTGACAAAAGTAGGCCTAGGCCTAGGCCTATATGAAAGTTGAACCTGTTTAGAATAGTGCGGATTCGATCACGAAACCTTCGGCATGGTAGTCAAGCGGGAAAGATTCCCATATCTGGCCATCACTTGTCACCCTGTGCACAAAACCCTATGGGACTGGTCTGAAAATTTTAAGTGTTTTCTCAGTAAAAATTCAAAATTGTCCCTGCTAATTTAGACTTTTTAGAACATATTATCACTTTATATTGATGGCTGATAGGTCATTTAAGGGGAAAATTACTGATGGCCAGATATGGGAATTTCCGTCAAGCGAATAAACAATCGAGCTACCTTAAAAAGCAAATTGGCTGGAACTGGAAAGTGGAAGCTTGCATATGCCTAGGCCTAGATTAGCAATGGTAAATTTGCAATGACGAAATGCATCAGAATCATGATCATTTAAAACTTAAAAGCCAGGCCATAATTACTTCTGAAATCAGAAGGCTTCTCTGCGTCAGAGAGAAGCCTTCTGATTTCAGAAGTAGGCCCTAATTACTTATTAAGAGTTGAAAATCACATGTAATGTGCACCACAAAAGTACACAAGTTGCTCCCTTGCATAAAAAATCATTGAAATCTACAGTAATTTTACAGCATCACTGCATCAGTTACTTTCAAATTTTCCCGGCAGTGACGGAAGTCAGGTTCGTCCATGCAAAGCAAAGGCAGCATGCGCGTCTGGCAGGGCGCCACCAGAGACGATCGACGCACAGTCGAAGACTGCGGCACCGATCCGCCATCCGGGGGCTGGCCGTCGGGCAGCCGCGCCGACACACACCGGCACGTGTTTGCTTTTAACTTATGGCTTCGTAAGTTCACATCAACTTCAATCAAACGTGTGTTTTTGATGCACTGCAGTGCACTGCAGTTGAAAAACAAATTGAAAAAGATTCTCCCCCTAAAGAGCCCTCAATTCTTCCCCCTTGTCTATTTTTAATGACAGATTTTCGACAGGGGCGGATTCGATTTCGCGGTCCCCATCGCTGAACTATATACTTCGGATGATGCTGAGTTTTTTTTTTGTATTTCCTTTTATTCTGTTCTGTAACTGACCGTCATTCGAATGTTCATGTAAAGCACACTTTGTTTGCATCTATTTAGGTTTTAAATAACGCAACTAAGTACGCGGTAGATGACTTTTTAAGTTGTTTGAAGTCATGCACTAATTTACTTTAATATTTAGACAGTGTAGTAGATGGCCCTAGTTTTCATTTTTTATTGTCCCCCCCCCCCTCTTTTTACTCGGCGGAGCTTTTGGGACATGTTTTCATCGTAGGTCTATTAAAGTTAGGTGAGCAGATTCGCTGATTAATTAGGCAAGACAACCGTCTCTTGACCTCTACATTTTGACCAATCAGCGGGCGCTTTCTATATGGGGTCTTCGGTCATTCACCGCCCGTTGCCTGTCATAGACAATGGATAAAACAAGCCTGTGTCACGCCCTCTGTATCATGTTACGCGATATATGCCCAGCTGTTTACCAATTTACCAATCAAACCATTTCGTCCTGACATAGGAATGAAATGACGTCAACATTTGAGTCGACTCCGATTGGCTGAGGTGGGCTTGCATATCTGCATGTCTAGACATATCAGACGTTATAGAAGGGACTTGGCTCCGTGGATAATGGGTGCTACTCGGACTATAGTAGGCCAATTTCATAAAGGAAAAGAGGTACGGCCTTTGCACGGTAAACACAAGGGGAAAAAAAGTTTATCCAAAGTCTCAGAAGAAGAATGCTCAAAGTTAATTATCTAACACTGCGTCAAACGTTTCTGAAATAAAAGCCTGATATAGCATTATTACAGGCCTGATATCGCATTCTCTGCACTGAGCAGTGCCAAATCACGTATGCCTACTCACTGCCACAGGGGAACGTATTGCAGGAGATGACGTCCTTCTCTCGGATGGGAATGCCACTACAGAAGGACTCCAGGGCTGGCTTGGGGATCTGCTCCGTGGTAAAACAATACTTCTGTAGAGTCTGGATACCTGGTGGTTGATGAAAGGATATTGGGATTAGTATTAGGTCGTGCGGCAAAATGGACGCAAGCTATGGCTACGGCTATGTCGGCCTTCCATAAGCCCCGCCCACCTTTGGTCACTGACCAAAAGTCGTGATCTAATTGGTCAATGTGCTTAGTTTGACTGACAGATAGGGAGGGTCCATAGAATAACGCAGTTTGGACGCAGCCTTATCTAAAGGGGAAAACACTCCCTCCAGTTTGGCCAGTGTCTTTAACACGCTTCAATTTTTGACACTGTTGCTAAACTTCATTTTCCCTTATTATTGTCTTCTTAAATTGTGTTTCAATATAGTTATAAAAACCCGTCGAAACTGACTGTGGGCAGCCAGGAGTGGGAGAGATTCTCAATGGTAACAAAATGGCTTTATCGCGTTTTGGAAATGTCTTCTAACCGGACACCAGTTGGAACATTCATAGAGTTCGCACCGTTCGAGCAAACTTGGGGCCCGGCGGCGGCGCCCGGCGCTGTTTTAGTTGCGGCGAATCACTGCATCAACGCACTAAAATTTTAATCAGCACCACCCACCTTCACCGCACTGCTTTGTACAGGATGAGTATCTGTTCTTCCATTGGTGGGTCTGGCACACGACTTCAGCCTAAAAGAAAAGGCAAAATTGAAGATTTCTTTAAAAAAAATACGAAAAGAAAAAAAACGCCACAATAGTTAAATTCATCAGGGGGCATCATTATCTGGAGGGATTCCCCAATGGGGGGAGGGGACATGTGTCCCCCCCCGTCCCTCACCGATCGACGCCATGCCCCTCCCCCTCCCCTCCCCGTTCAGGATTTGGGGAAGTCAAAAATTAGCTTTGGATTGTTTCAAACTATGACCGAACCCTTTGTGTGACCTATCATATCGTTTGTCCCCCCCCCCCCCCACATTGTTCGTCCCCGAATAAAAAGTGTAGGCCTCATTTGTTTCTATAGCTCAGAATAGCTGATTCAATGACTCCAAACTCAAAAATGATGTAAATGATGATCAAAACATTCACACTGTAAAAGTGGTCAGAAATTGCCTCAGATCGCACCACAGAGCATCTATCCAAAATGTTCCAAACCCCACGCCGTTAGGGCTTCACGCTCGCATTAGTTCTGATCAAGGTATGCCCCCCCCCCCCCCCCCCCCACACCACACACACACACCCACCCACACACACACTTTGAGAAGCGGTTGACTTTCTCGCGTACTTTTGTTGGCAATTGGGCGAGTTCGTATAGGCCTATAATGGTAACAAAATCGGCCCTCTACTATGAGAAAACAGTAAGAGTAAATTGAACACTTTCAAAAAAAATATAGCTGTTGTACAAAAAAAATAAATCAAGATTAACTTGTGGGAATATAATAAACTAAGACCTGCACATTGTATTTCAATGTTATTTTGCTCAAACGTTTTTCTGTTAAAATAATTAGGCGTTTATCAACATGTTTTAATCTTAGGTATACGTTTACTCACAGGGTAGAGAAAGACCGAGACAACTGCCACACACAGCCACAGGGTTGGGGAAAGTCCTGCGGGGGAATTCATGATCAGCCCCCGGTAGCTAGCTCCCGATCGGTGCGGTTCCTCGTAAAAAAAATCCAGTGGTCTGGAGGCAGCCCCCACGACGCACGTGTCTATCTATACCAGGAATGGAATCGTCAGGCACGGGCGTGGCTTACTGCGGAATTCTCGACATCTATATTGTCACGCATGAATAATTTAGAACCCGTGCGGAGCGCTTCCATTTTTCACAAAAACAAAATATGTTTTAGGACATGTCAGCATTTAGTAACTTATTTTCAGCTAAATTATTCTTGATTTAGGTCTACTGAAGTTCAGAAATATGGCTTTATTTTTCAGTGACGATTCCATTTTTAGTTGGCATTGGTGGATGTTGCCAGGGAAGGAAATGTGAACAGATACCCCGGGAGGAATGGACTCGTCTATACCATAGAAATCACTTGTTGCTGACATTCCAATTGCAAAAGATGAAGGGGAAAGGAAGTATGAGAAAAGTTCGTTTCACAAAATCAGGATGAACGATTTCTGCTCATAAACAATGCTGAATATGAATGGCATTCTTGAGGGTTATCTCGACCGTTTCATCTGTGATGTCATGCCTGCAGGTTGCCGACAACGTGGGTTTTTATCTGCAGCACACATCGTCAACGGATCATTATTATTCAGCTAGTTTGATGTTTATTCATAAGAAAATAACATGGCGTCATATCATTGCTATTACTCAGTCATGCATGTACATTAAAGCATTTCAAAGAACGGCTTTCGTCGAGCTGCCTAGGTGCAATCCTGCAATAAAATTCCTATAGACACTAGTGCTAAATCCCCATACTTTAAAATTCTTTAAAAAAAAAATTCAGAACTCTCACAGGCATTTAAGCTTGTACAGTAAAATGATGATCAACATGTCATCTTTCATTATTGTTTTTATTTTTGGTGGGTTGACCATCGAATTTTCGAGATACTCTCACCCAAAGAAGATGACCCCTATTTTTCCCCAAAGCGGAAAAGTAGCCATCTCGAAAAACGATCCCTCCACAACATGGCAAAATAGCGCCACTTTCGAGCCCAATTACATCCAAAATGCTCAGAATTGGAAGCCCCAAGTCCGGGCCAGAGGTTCATTGCCATATCTGGCGATAAAACCTCAGTTAAAAAGTTAAAAATATTCAACAAAGTCCTTTTGAAGCCCGTCTTTTTTTTTTAAAGTGGATTTTATAAATCATATTGTTTGCCTAACCAGGGTTGTTTATAAAGATGTACTACAGTTGCAGTTGTTGACAGTTGTAGAAACAAGTATTCTGTGTCATTTTCTTTATGTTGTTCCAAGCAGTCAAAACACACGAGAAATTGTTTTTTTTTTGGACGAGACAGGTTTTAGGGCCATTGCGTTTAAATGGTGATATTCTTTGAACGGATTGAGCAATTTCAGTAATTTCTTTTAATATAAAAGTAGCTTATGAAATTGGCTTTCCAGTCATTATTATGTTGGTGCTACATATTTCTTTTCAATATGAAATATATTTTTGGGGGTTTGGGTTCCGCTTTTTTGACTCACCCTGTACAATGAAAGTCGGCAACTCAACTTGACATTTTGGTATATTTTGTATATAAAAGTGTGACACGCTCTGAATTTTTGTATGCTAATGCGACGGGGGTACGTATTTATACTAAGTCTAATATTTAAGCAACTGACATGTACATTGTACGACGATATTTTGAGCCTGAACGGAGTTTAGTGTTCAAACGTGTACTCCAAATATTACAACTGGATTTTTTTCCTACACATGTTGCCATCAATTGTTTTAAACAGTGGCAGGCTCAAATAGTTTACTTTCTAAAAAAAAAAATCGGACCAGAATTTAAACATAAACTGAACAATAATAACGTATTCTTATACACAACCAGTTCATCCATTTCTTTATTATGCAACAACCAATTCATCAACTTCTAGATGTTTGTTTCTTTTAATTTTTATATACATATATTTCGGAATAGAATATACTATATAAAAAAGTACTTTAAAATATAAATGTCATACAAAACGAAGCTCACACCTCTTATTCGTTTTAACTGAATTCGGAAACAAAACAAAGTGAGCTGAAAATATTACAGTATCAAAAAGTAAGACGGTTTTCTTTTTTTGGATATCTCCGATGTTCAACGTATTAAAAAAACACACGAAAGTCTGTAGCGAGCCAATATGGCCCATCAGGCCAGGGTTTTTCTTCGGTTTCAGCGGCATGATGAATCGATTGACAATAGAGGGCGAGTAAAAAAAACCAAACCCAAATGTCGGGACTATTGTTTGAGGAGGTTTTCATGTAGCACTTTGAAAATCTAGGATATGAAAGCCCAATTCACAAGCTTTCTTTTAGTATAAGAATCATTCAAATCACTCATGTACTTTTCAAGTTACGGAATTTTAAACACAACCACCGTTTTAAAGTTCTGTCCACGGATCACAAAAAAGGTGCGCGTGCTTTCAGCAAAACGAAAACAATTCACATACATCCCATGTGATTTGTTTTCGTACGGTTTTGCTGAAAGAACACTGAACTTTTTTTTGTGATCCGTGGACAGAACCTTAAAACAGCGGTTGTGTTTAAAACTCCGTAACTTGAAAAGTACATGAGTGATTTAAATGATTCTTGTACTAAAAGAAAGCTTGTGAATTGGGCTTTCATATCCTAGATTTGAAAGTGCTACATGCAGAACTTCACCAAAACAATGGTCCCGACATGTGGGTTTCGTGTTTTTTTACTCGTCCTGTTGTAGTTTGTTTTTATGGGATGCCAGTCTATCGTAGGTTACTCCACAGCTACAGCTGGTGCCTATTTATGCTCCTAGTGGGGTGAAGTGGCTTGCCCAAGGACACAACATATGACCAGCAGCTGGATTCGAACCCCTGCCCCTCGGAGTCACTAAGTTCCACTTACTCTATAACCACTAAGCCACACTCCACAAAGTTCAAAGAAGCATACCTTAATGCCATTATCATGTTGCGGGAAGTTGGATTTTTCCCATTCAAATCAACGCGACCAAAGCGAGGCCGGAAGGAACAATAGTCGGGTTCCTTTTTGCACAAAAAAAACATTATCATTCACTACTGTTATTGGATACAGGGAACATGACTGAAATGGTGACAGCATGATAAGGTCTATACAACAAATTTTGAGCAGGGACAGTGTGGGGATAGTGTATGTACCATTAAACAAAACAAAAAATAAGTAACCAGCTCCTTTAAAAGAATAAAATAGCTATACTTCGCATGTTAAGCCCGGTTCATAGGGGCGTGAAAGCGAGAGCGAACGCGAATTTGTGACGTCATGGCAAGTATTCGTGCTGCGAATTCGTAAAAGTTGAACATATTTCAACTCGGGCGAATTTCGCAGCGAATGTTTCACGACTTCAAATTCGCTTCGTATTCGCAAGAAGTAGGAACCGGGCTTTATGCCGTTTAAAATGAACGATGTGCCTCGCAGAATGTCCAGGAGCCACGTATATATTCCGCATCTCTCTATCTACCATACACCACAAATACGTACCGTTATCTGGTCAAAAGCAACCAAAGAATACCCCCGAAAGTAATATCAGTTTGTAAAATCCAGCGACACGAGATTCCATAAAAAAATTCAACAATATACATACCCTGTAAATAGTACTTCTAGTATTATCGACCCCAAAAAGCATACCAAAACACGCACGTCGCCGGTTTCCGATTTGTGACAAAACAACGGCATCCCCTTCCCCTCTGGCAAAACTGACTTTATAAAGCCCTCTTTTGCAGGCACCCTTGCGATTGATAATGCGTTTACGAGTCAAAGACTCGCCGTAGTTAAGAACAGTTTAAGAAGCCTACATCTGGCTTTCGTAATGCCAAAAAAGGTCTCCGGTTTCTGGCGTGCGCACGCGTCGCCGTAGCAAAATTAAAAAGTTTTTTTTTCAATGTCAGGTGATGTCTCAAAACTAGATTTAGTCGAACACCATATGCAGTCATCAGCCGACATTTTAAGGGGGAAAAAAACGGTAAAGAAAAAAAAAGCCGCGTCGCCGCACCACTTTTGGTGCAAGCTCCATACCAGAAACCGGAGACTGTTTTGGCCTAAATGGTCAGTTTACAGTAAGTCTCTTCATATGTTTTTTAAACCGAGGAAAACATGTTTAAAATTATCACAATATGTTCGTAGACGATTTTGAGTAACAAACAATTTGTGCAAATAACCAGCAAATTCAAACCATAAGGATGAAAATTAAAGACCCAGCCGCTACACACAAAAAAGGTAAGTTCTCCATCCGCTCCACTTTAGGGCGTGTTCAGCTTGTTTCCCACGGCCTGATTATACCTGCAACAATACGTAAAAGTCAAGATCAATAAACGATTTGCTCTTCAAAGAAGGAGGATCGTTTTGCTCTTCATGCATTTTGTTCGTTTCCAATAATAACACCACTCAACATCCAACGAAGAATTAAAGCCTAACCTGTTGAAGTTTCAGCTCAGTGGATGTTACGCTTTTCGAGAAAACAGTGGAAAACCATGCACAACTTTTTTTTATCACGAAGACGATTTCGTTAATAGAACGCTTACCAAATTTAGTCAATTGACTGATCGTTGAAATCACCTTTACAGTTCTTGATTTCTTCTAAATGACAGCAAGCCAGACGGAATAATTTCACGGGGTGTTTAGTACCAGTGCAATCTTTAATCCAAGGCCTTTTGATAACAATTTGGAAGGTTACTTTTGGGACAATGGTCATTATTATCCTTTTAGGTCGGATCCAAACTTCACGGAGTTTCGAACAATTTTCAGAAGACTCCTTTTGCTTATCAAAATACAGCTTGGAACCGAGGGCGGATGCAGAACACAATTTTTTTGGGGGTCCCAAAAAAATTTGGTCCCCCAAAATAGTGAGTCCAAAAAATTACGGCGTGGGGTTCGGGGCCCGCTTAAGGGCCCCGAATTTTTGGGGGGGATTCTAGATGTTCTGTGGTGTGATCTGAGGCAATTTCTGACCTCTTTGACCAATTTTTTTTGAGGAAAAGATTGTGGTGTACGCAGTGCCTGCCTTCATTGCTACGTCACTTTTTAAAAAATGGTCCTTTGGGGGGGGGGGGGCATGGCCCCCGTCCCCCCCCCCACCCCCGCCTCTGGATCCGCTCTTGCTTGGAACCCGTCTGGCATTACAAGAAGCGTGATATTTGGGTCGCTGGTATTTTCTTGGCTTCGCAAGTATCTCTGCTTATAGAAGGTAGACACTATTACACGATTTTAATATTATTACATGAGGGAATATACCCAACTATTGTCTTAGGCAATAAAAGACGCATGCTATTTGAGCCGCTGGTGACTTTGATTCGCAAGTATCTGGGCATAGCAGGTAAATATTACACGAGGTTAATATAGGTTTTCCCGGCCAATTTCCTAAAATGTTCATTCACTTCTGAAAATCGGTCACTCATTTTTGTCTGAATTTGAGAATCGCTCTGAACACGCGTTTCATGTTCGGTACCAGAGCATTCGATTCCATTTCAGTTCAATCAATAATTTAAGTAAGTGATGGAGCAGCACCTTTCGTTTGTGTCCATTCAGATTCGTTTACAAGACTTCTTTTTCGTTTTAGAGGGCGATTTCAAACATTGACCATTCTATTTCACTTTTAGTTTAATGTTCTGTGATGTGATCTGCTATTTGGAATGAGAAAAACGGTTTTTTTTATTGCACATTCACGAAATTGTATTCCAGAACTCTGCGCGAAAAGGTATGCTTGCGTAAATGAATGCACAGGTAATGTAATTGGACGTCTTTTTCTCAAAACCGAATGCACGGACAATGAAAACGATTGAACTTTCACTGAATTAAAATGTGATTAAAGACGTGCATTCATATTCAGACGAAAATAAATAACCGATTTTCAGAAGTGAATGAACATTTCAGGAAATTTGCCGGGAAACCTATATTATAACCGAACTTTTGTTCATAGTCTCAAATTACCTATTGGTAAAGCTGATAGAAAAAAATGTCTCTCGATACTTACATACAACGATGACAGCAATTATTAGCAGAACAACAACGACGCCGATGACTTTATACTGAAAGTAAGAAATTGAGACCGACGAATTAGAACAAAATTACGAGTCACACCAACAGTCACACTGATAGCAACACACCCAAGTGTGTACACACCTGTAATCGTGGACACCCTCTGTCTTTCTTTTGTTTGGACCCTAACTTTTTAGCAACAGCTCTCATTGGTTTTGTACACGAATCTCAATCGTGGACCATATTGTCCTCTATTGTTCAAGGTCCACGATTTGAATGCGTATACAAACTCAAGACCAAAACATACAAACACACAGCCTTATATACTTTCTGTGGACATTGATTTGTATTTGTGCAGTTACGAAAACCCAGAGAATAAAATCATCCACAGTGAACACACTCTTTCAATCTCATTTTTTAATCATGATTTCCTTGAGTGTTCCTCATTATTTTGCGAGGAATACACATAACCAAAATGCCTCTAAACCTGTTTTACGGGGGGGGGGGGGACCTAGTGTGGACCCGTGCAAGTCCACAAAGCGCTCACGCTTTCTGCACGGCCTATTTTGTTCGCAGGTCCACAAAGAGTATGCAAGGTTAGAGCACACTGAGAGTACGTGAATGAAAATCTAAGACTATCCAGGATGAACTGAACATTTGACAATGATAATTTCATATCTTGCATCAAATCAATGAAGAGATTACTCACCAATCTGTTCTTCCATTTATAATGCGTTTTGATCTGTTTTGACGTTGTCTTAAATGACGAGGCCTGTGCCATCAGATCATCTGTTGGAGAAAAGTTAAAAGAACAAAAAAGCCATCAGTTGTATAAGAATTTGTATAATTGTTTTTAAAGGGCATTACACCAGGTGACCGTCGTCACGCGTCTTGTGTAGTCTTCTTACAAATTCGCGCATTTGAAACCCTAATTGACCGCCCCATGAATGACGCTTTGACGGGGGAACAATGGAACCTTTCAATGCAATTTGCTTGAACATGATTTTTGCGTTAGAACACTCATATGCCCTTCTGCCGGGCACCCGACGACTATGGGTGTGGCATCGAAGAGGAGCACCTGTTTGTGCCCACGTGCGCGCATTGGGCGTGGTCTACTGGCTCATTGGTAGTTTTGCGCATGCCCTTGGTAAAGATAAATTAGGACAGTGACGGGTCACGTGTTAGGGTTTAGATCCCTTAAAATTTCATTAGAAGTCCATTTCTCTGTGAAAAGAATCTTTAAGAGACGTTTCAAGGACATTTACATAATGGGCTTATATAGGACTAATCCTGTAAGGGTATTTTCACGGTTTTTTTTTAATGACCCTGGCCACTGAGGATTATCATTGGATATACATAACGGTGTTTTCATGGACTACTAATCTGGCTTAATATGTTGAAAAATCCGTGAAAATCTAGTTAACTGTAATTTCAAGGGAAAATGGCTCTTAGACGAATTTTTAAAGGGATGAAGATGTTCATAATGTGATGTTTCGACCAATCATATCCTTGTTTATTGCCTGGCGAGCCGCGAGCGTGCACTTGCATATATGATGCGCGCGTCTGAATGTGTGGCACTGATTGCTACACATGCTGTTGCCCATGCGCGTGAGCAGTGGGCGGGGCCAAACTGAACCGTGAGGTATATAACTATAGTACAGACGAGCGGACTCGGAACCCACCAGAATGGTCCATCAGGTCGTCCAGCTTTTCGCCCCGTTCCAGGAGCTTGTCCACATTCGTGTGTAAGATGACCGCCACCTCGTCCACCTCGGCTTGCAGCTTCTGCACGCGCTTGCTCTTGGCGCGAGTCGATGCGGGGTCCGAGTCCAGTTGAGCATCGTCTCTGGGATAGGTCCTCGACCGGCTCCTGTTTGTGTGCATCAAGAGCTCACGGTTAGAAATAACATACAAATACGTAACAACTAAGTAACACTAAAAAGGGATAGGGGTAGAAATACAGGCGAGTAAAAAAAAAAAAACCGAAAATGTCGGGACTATTATTATTGAAGTTCTTCATGTAGCACTTTGACAATCTAGGATATGAAAGCCCAATTCATAAGCTTTCTTTTAGTACAAAAATCATTCAAATCACTCATGTTCTTTTCAAGTTACGGAATTTTAAACACAACCACCGTTTTAAAGTTCTGTCCACGGATCACAAAAAAAGGTGCGCGTTCTTTCAGCAAAACGAAAACAATTCACACACATCATGGGCGTCGCGAGGGGGGGGGGGGCACTTGCCCCCTCCCCTGGAAAAAGCAAAAAAAAAAAAAAAAAAAAAGGAAGAAAAAAAAAAAAAAGAGGCGCAAATTTAAGTGGTGTAAATTTAATGAGTTGGGGGGGGGCAAAATGTCCCTGCCCTCCTCTAAAGCTGATAAATCGAGAATGTGTTGAGAAATACAAGCATTTTTTTGGCCAAAAAAAATGTTTGCCCCCCTCTAGAAAAAATCCTGGCGACGCCCATGAATAAGGTTTATGAATTGGGCTTTCATATCCCACATTTTGTAACTAGGCCTATATCCATTTGATTATATCCATTATATCCATTCCCCTTGTGAATGCATTTGGGTACAAATTGAGTGGCTTTCAGTCTCGTAATTTATCAGGCTGTGTCATTCAAAAAACTTTGGATAATTTTGATTCATTTGTTATTATGGTTGGACATATTTATGAGATAATAATACACTGGGATAATATGGTACAACTTGACAAGTGGTATGGGAGCAATAATGTGGACATTGGACATAGAGTGCATAAGCCACTCCTAACTCGTGGAACAACCCCCATCGGAGTTCCATAATGTGCTTTACCTATTCGGTGAATAGCACAAAATACACAGGGTTAAAATGTATTATGAAAGTTCGCTCGTACCCCCGCTCTGTAAACAGGACGCTGGGATACTCTGATGAATTCACGCTCTGATTGACCATAGACCTGCGCGTCATCAAGGTCATGACTCTGCAAGGTTTGAAACGGCCGTTAAGACTGATTCAGTACTTTTTTATTCCAGTTTAGAGATATCTTTTTCTCGTTGAAAAGCGTAATAATGTAGGAAATTCTGTAAAACTTATCTGTGTTGTAAATTTACAATTCCCGTCACTTGCTCAGGCTCCGTTTCGAATCACGAACGGTCGGATTGCATCATGCGACGCTCAAAATTTTGTCTACATGGTCCGCAATGAAACAGAAATCACATTCGGTATGCAATGTGCGCATTTCTATGGGAAGTTTTCGGATAGCATTTTGCGCACATTGTCTAACTGCGGTCTTGAATAGCAGCAGCCAGATGCTTTATACATAGGTCATAGGCCACTTCCTTCACAAGATTCTGTGAAGCTCATCAGTATCCCAGCGTCCTGTTTGCAGGGCGTGGGGTACGAGCGAATTAAGAAAGTTGTTATTGAAAAATACCATGGAGCAATTTGGAATCTTTTGAGAAATGATGAAACCATACATGGGGAAAAAAAACATACAATTTCCCATGGGAAAAAGCCAATGGGAAAACTCCCATGGGAAAAATCCCATGCTTCATGGTGTACGTCCAATTCACCATGCAGTTCCCATGGGGTCCCATGGGAAAATTTCGCATGGGAACAACATATGGGAGATTTCTGTAAGGGCCGGTATTGTACCACCATGGTGGTGCCATGGGGTTACAATAGCTGCCCATGGTGTCCCATGGGGACACCATAGCATGTTCCCATGGGGCATGTTTAGACGGAGGAAAAACGTTGCAATTAACGTACCTGATGACGCCACTTCTGCGATATACACAGTTTATGGAGAGTAAAGAACATTTTCTAAGTATTTCCTAACAAAATTGGAATATTTCTCAGTCCCAGATTCGATCATGTCTTATCATTTTTGCAATGAATGACTAAGCTTCATTGAGATGATATGAAGAACAAGTCAGGTGTGTTTACAAACACAAATGCCCCGCAACCGTGACTGTTTCCATGACATAACATCAACTTACATGTACCTTGGTCAAATGGAACGTTCATTGACAGCATTAGTGTCTTCTGTAGGTTTTATATGAATTAATCCCTAATCCCTATGATCTCAGAATAAATACAAGATTTCCATTGTTTTAGCCACTGTGACCTTGACCCTTGACCTTTCGACCCCCAATGCGATAGGCTTCTTAGGATTGCCAAGGACAATCCACAAACCAAATTTGAAGTTCATATGTAAAGTATATCTCAAGTTATCACGCTGACAAAATTTCTTTTGTTTTTTCCACTGTGACCTTGACCCTTGACCTTTTGGCCCCAAATGCAAAAGGCTTCTTAGGATTGCCAAGGACAATCCACAAACCAAATTTGAAGTTCATATGTAAAGTATTTCTCAAGTTATCGCGCTGACAAAATTTCTATTGTTTCAGCCACTGTGACCTTGACCCTTGACCTTTCAGCCCCAAATGCAATAGGCTTCTTAGGATTACCAAGAACAATACACAAACCAAATTTGAAGTTCATATGTAAAGTATTTCTCAAGTTATCCCGCTGACAAAACTTCTTTTGTTTTAGTCACTGTGACCTTGACCCTTGACCTTTTGGCCCCAAATGCAAAAGGCTTCTTAGAATTGCCAAGGACAATCCACAAACCAAATTTGAAGTTCATATGTAAAGTATTTCTCAAGTTATCGCGCTGACAAAATTTCTATTGTTTCAGCCACTGTGACCTTGACCCTTGACCTTTCAGCCCCAAATGCAATAGGCTTCTTAGGATTACCAAGAACAATACACAAACCAAATTTGAAGTTCATATGTAAAGTATTTCTCAAGTTATCCCGCTGACAAAACTTCTTTTGTTTTAGTCACTGTGACCTTGACCCTTGACCTTTTGGCCCCAAATGCAAAAGGCTTCTTAGAATTGCCAAGGACAATCCACAAACCAAATTTGAAGTTCATATGTAAAGTATTTCTCAAGTTATCGCGCTGACAAAATTTCTATTGTTTCAGCCACTGTGACATTGAACCTTGACCTTTCGGCCCCAAATGTAAAAGGCTTCTTAGGATTACCAAGGACAATCCACAAACCAAATTTGAAGTTCATATGTAAAGTATTTCTCAAGTTATCGCGCTGACAAGATTTGTCCGGACACACCCACCCACCCACCCACCCACCCACCCACCCACACACCCACCCACGGAAGGACAAGGCGGAAACAGTATGCATAATAAAAAAAGTGGCGTCATGCAGGTTGCAACATTGTTTCCTTTCCTACCTCCATGATAATATTATTTACCAACAGACCCGGAAAACTGATACAGATATGTGAAATCTGACACTCGGCTCATGTTGACACGACCTCGTGTCTGACTTGACCTGACTTTACTTTATTTCCTTAAAGTACAAAATCAGGTTGAATACATATGTCGGTAACTTTGGTGTGAATATGCCTACAACTACTGCGTTCAAGTCCTTTAGTAGAGATAATTGTTCTATGGTCTAATCTGTTTCCTTAAGTTGCTTTAATTATGCGGTGGAATATATTCTACTGCCAGTATTGTAGCAAAGAAGATTGACAACACACAAGTTTCAACACGATCGACCTAGGCCTACACCTACACGTACTTCCTACCACTTGAACTGCAAACGCAAAAAAAACGTGTGACACTGATAAGGGCCTTACTCTGTGCGATAACTTAACATTGTGATAAAACTTACATGATGTAGGCCTATAGGCTCTGAGCGGGAAATATTCTCGTCACCGCCGAGTAGTGCAAACGGCAAGTTTGGCTTGAAGTTGACACATGTTTACCGAATAACACGATGACTGTGCTCTACTTCGCTTGAAGTGAACTGACAACTATTATAACTGCAACACGTCCCTTTGACGTGGGATGCATGTGTGCACTGTAAACACGTATACAAGGCAGCCTGGTCGAAAGCAGAATGGTTCAGTGCACATAAAGAATTCCGTATATACGCACAACCGATCCGTCGATTTGTATTCAGTTTTGGCGCACGTACGTATCGTGATGAAAAGCCAATATGATTGTCAACAAATTACACAAGTGCAAATTGTCCATGTAAGTTTCGTTTTCTAGTGCGGCTCTTGTCCTTGCCGTAGTACGATGACCTCTAATGATCTTTCATTGTACGTGTATAGGTGAAGTTATATAACAAGGAATAAATTAAAGTGTTTAAATCACCGGTGATTCGTGGACGGAAGTACGTATATCAGGTGATCCGAGTTCGAATGCCAATGATCGTTTTTCACTTCTTTTCATTTTACCTTTTAAATAACCAAAGTGAGGAAGGAACATTTTTTCTCACAAGACGTAAAGCCTATCTTGGGTTTGTGTTATGGAGAAGAAGGCATAAGATATGCACGTGGGCCTAATGGACCAATCAGAAGATGGGAAACGGATGTCGTTTGGGAATGAACAATTCGCCGGCCCGGATTGGTCTGTGTATTTGATTGTTTTTGTTTTGTTTTCACCGAAGACTCTAGCTTTCCGAAAATACCCGGGTAGAGTTTTAAGGATTAGTTTACAGGAGGATCGATATATAAGATTTGAGGCTTTGCGTGGTGGAGTATCGGATATCGTTTCGGTTTGCGGTAACACTACTGCTTAGAAGATATTCTGAAAAGAAATTGTCCTGCTTATTAATTATCAACTTTCGCTAAGTAGTTTTTATTATGATAAGAACAGTCCTGCTTTAAGTTCTTACAGAACTTGTCTTTGGTCTCAACGATTCGACTAGCCTGCTCTAGACGATGACTAGAGCAGGCTAGTCGAAACGTTGAGACCAAAGACAAGTTCTTAATTTTAGCTGCAAAAAGCAGCTCAACAATGTCTCTCCGTTGGTTTTTTTGTTTGTTGTAACAAACGTTGGAACGTTTGAAACACCTCGGCGCTATCAATCACCTGCACCGTACTCTATGCAGTCCCCGAAAAATGGGGTCACGGTCGAGGGTCTCGCAAACCTGATGTTTGTACCGCGAGCAGTATCCCCTTTAAGAAATCAAAGAGCACAATCACGTCATTCATTCATGAAGACAAATTCGTGGGATAGTTTCGAGCTTGTTATGAATGCAGTACAAACATGACTCGAGAAGGTCACTTCTCTCAGACTGATAAACGCTTTGCAAACATTATATTCAATAGGCCTACATACAAGGCAGCAAATTTTATCAAAGAAAACCACCTGCGTGTTTATTAGCATTGTTGAGTGTTTCGTGTTTTGTTCTCGTAGACAGAACTTATGTCCATATTTGTCTAGACCACCATTGTTTAATTACCAATGGTTGGGTTTTCCAATGTTGACATGCAATTGCAATGTAGGTCTATAAAACAAATCGTTTTGGAAATAACACTTGTGGATTTCCAAGAGAGAATGCCAGCATATATTTAGCTACATATCTTCGATCAGTTCCGAGTCTTTACGCACCCCTTGAAAGCATGCGATGAACCGCCAAACATAGTACATCTTGATAGCTCATATCTATCAAGAAGTGGATCAAATCTTGTCGACCCAGTCAATACTCAACCTCATATTGACAGGTTCCATTTTACGTCATGTGTTGTCAAGCCACTGTGGTCGGAGGGGGGGGGGGGCTACCCATAGAGTTAAATTAAGGATTTATTTCACGATTAACATTTTCATAGAGAAAATCCCATTCTAATTTTTGAAGAAAAAGTTGACACTTCAATCAAGGGTATTTTTTTAATTAGCCACTCCACAGAACTATATACACGAAGTTCAAGCGCCCATCATCATTTCTTCTTTTCCAGCTCGAAGAGGGCAATGGTCTATGCCTCTTTGTTTGTGAAGTCCGAATAGAGTAACATGACAATATTTACCAGATAAGAGGGGACAGTAAGCCTGGTACAAAAACCCGAATATAACAGGCCAACTCGAGATTTCTGTTAAAAAAAGGATTCACGGCATGACATGAAGTTCAAGCACCCTTCAACCCTTCCACATTTGAGGGGGTAATAGTCTAGGCCTCTTTGTTTATGAAGTCCGAATAGAGTAACATGACAATTGACCAGTGACAGAAACGTATGCTAAACACGACATATTGAATTTCACTTAAATGAATGCCTTATCAGGGACCTCGAAAAGTCGCTCACGGAAGCTGTTGTATCGCAATAATAAAATGTTAGGCCTATGTGTTAAAATGAAAAGGCGTCAGCATTGAACCATTCTGATGGTTGTGTTAGAATTGTCGGCACGCGCAGTACGCTTCTTAAACAGTTGTGAAAATCGAGGGGAAAATAAGCATTACCATATTAATATACGCCATTAGGAAGGTCCGCTCAAATGATTAGATTTAAGGACGCCGAGGCAACGAAGACAAACTTAGTGGAAACGTGAGTCCAAATGTACTCTTTCAAACGTGTTCTTTTACAAAGACTATAACATATGTCTGGCTTATGACATGAATATCAATTTAACAAATCTAGTATTATAGACCTTTATCATGCTGCCACCATTTCAGTAAAGTTCCCTGTATCCAATAACAGTACGGAATGATAATGTTTTTCAGGCAAAAAGTAACCAGACTATTTTTCCTTTCAGCCTCGCTTTGGTTACGTTGATTTGAATGGGAAAAATGAAGATGTCAGCAACATGATAATGGTCTATACTATGATGAATAAGATTTAATCCCTATACAAGCTGCAAGTCATAGTTCTAGGTTATAAAGTAAACTTCCTATAAAGTTGATAAAGTAAAGTAAAGTTAAGTTCTTATAAAGTTTCAAATAAGCAAGGTTTAAAGTACTCTATTAGTTAAAGTTTATAAAGTAATATAAATTTTAAGTACTAGTCAAATAATTAAAGTTTCTATAAAGTTATAACTGCTACTAGGTTGTAACTGCTATATTAATAACCGAATAACAAAGAAAATCTAATGTAACGAACCTAAACGTAAATAATTATAAGATAAGCATACAGTTGTTGATATACATTATGTTCTATAAAGTTATAACTGCTACTAGGTTGTAACTGCCATATTAATAACCGAATAACAAAGAAAATCTAACGTAACGAACCTAAACGTAAATTATTATAAGATAAGCATACAGTTGTTGATATACATTATGTTCTAAAAGTATCAGCACCTTTACGCCTTTAACAATAGTAAATCAAAAAAAAAAATAAACAACATGCACCTTGAAGTTAATTGCCAGCTACTTGTATAAATGACGTCATTAAAATACGTTCGTCCCTTCCGAAGAAATATTATGAAGATAATCATTCAAGTGTTTTGATACGTGTATTAAATATATCGGTTCAATATATACGCCTTTATAAGTACTTCAATAATCAAGATAAAAAAATAAGCAACACCATAGAGATGCACCCATGTTTATGTTACATACGTAGTGTGCATGTTCTTTTGTTTTCGTGTAGTTAAGAAAAACCTGTGAAAAAAAGGTAATTTTACTCACACTGTGAAAATTCTTTCAACCCTATTTTTTTCTGACACCCTTCAGTGTTTCTTTTCATTTTGTCACAGAAAAACCTTGACCCAAAAATCCTCTAAAACCGTTTTCCAGAGAGGGGGAAAAAACTGTTTGGACGTGGGCAAGTCCACACAACATCGCTTGGCTACCTGGATTATGTAGACCTCATTTTGTTCAGAAGTCCACACAGTGAATGTAACGCTTGTACACCATAATAATTCTAAATATACTGTCAGAGAAGAAATACTAAAAAAAAAGGCAATAACAAGTGGTGAGCGTCCACATAGAAGCTAACGGATCGCATCTTATTTTTTCAAAACCCACCAAAAGTCTGTTGCGGCCTTCCGTGTATCCCATACAATGAGGCAAAATAAATTACCAGTCTCTATACTTACATCAAAGGCCAAACAACCTTAACTGCAAGTGCATGACACGCCTAAACAAGGAGGATATTGGTGGGCCTCTACTTCGGGGCCTATACTCTAAGTTACATTACCTGTCTCAACTTAGATGGCGCATAACAAAACGTTCAGTCTGTTTAAAACCAACTCTAAAGCTTGTTGAAAGCCTTTCATACAAGGCAAGATAAATTACCAGTCTCTTCTTACATCCAAAACCAAGCCATCACAAGTGCACAATTGCACACACACATAAAACAAGGAGAATAACTAAGTGTTTAAACCCATACCAAAGCCTGTTGACATCCTTCCGTGCATCCCATAAGGCCAGTCAAATTAACAGTTTCTGCTTAGGCTACATCAAAAGACAAGCCACTATTTTTGCTAAGAAAGAAACTCACAAAACTAAGGGAACAGCATGGCGGTGAGCGTCTGCTCTTGGCCACAACTCTAAGTCTTCCTCAAACTCACCCAAAGTTTGTTGATTGCTATAATGACGTGCATTCCATGACTATAATTGAGATGTTCTAATTAACAATCCATACTTACATCAAAACAAAGCGGCAAAGCAGAGACAGACGTGACAATTTAGGAAAACAACATTTGGTGGCGTCTGGGCCAATAAGTCAGCATTAATCTGCTTCAAAACCTATTTCAAAAGGTTGTATGGCCTAGCTTCCATCTCTGCTTACAACAAAATCCAGGCCATGACGACTACAAGCACAGAAACACAGAAAGCAATAAGAATGACGAGATGGCGGGCGTCTTCTTTTGGGCCAATAGGTCTTGTCTTGGTTGGCTTCTCGATCCGCTCCCAAACCGTGTTGATTGCCTTTCGGGCTTCATCATTCTTCCCAGGACCCACCAATCGAAACTGGTATGGCACAAGGGGTCCGAACAAGCACCGGAGAGTCAGCACGGGATCGGTGAAGAAGAGCTTCAGGAAATTTGGCTCGACTCCGATCTCAGACGCCAGACTGATGCAGTAGGCTTGGAAATCACTGTGTCGGTGGTTAGGTAAAAATGCGGCATTCATGGCTTCGTCAGTCGCCTTCACCTCAGCCTCCATATCCGGCTGGGATGGTAGCTTAGCCAACCCTTTGAACACCCTCGAAGCCCAGCGAGCCTGAAGCTCGACGCACGGGATGACTGAGCCCAAGGGTCTGATGGCGCCGTTGACCGACAGCGTGTTGTGCTTTAGACCTAAAGGAAACACCAACTTGTACAGCGGCAGGTGGCCATCTTTCATCTCCAGTGCTTGGCAATCAACCTCCAAGGGCAGCGTGTCCTTGTAGCCGGTGGCCATGATGACGGCATCGATGTCCTCCTCGGTGGTACCGTCTTCAAAAACCACGCCCGTCTTGGTGAAGCTTGCGATGTTTGCCTTGATCATCACTGTGCCGCTGATGATACAACCTGGCATGTCCTCTGTAACCAGTGCATCGCCGGCAAACAAATCGTGGGCCGGCCTCAGAGAGTTATAGAGCATCTTGAACTTACGTTTGAGGGATTTCACGAAAAGCATGAAGTGAAGTTTTGCTGGTACCAGGTGGAATCTTCCGGAAATATGGAAATCCCACGGGATACCGTAGTCTCCAATGCGATTGACTATCCACACGCCACGTCTGGTACTCAAGTACACCTGTTACAATAGAGCAAGAGTAATAAACCAGAAGTGATCATCGGTCAGCTCAGTCTTAATGTTGAAATGAATCATGCATTACGTAAACCTACCTGTGATGCCAGGCGACTGACGTCTACAGCTGCATCCCCTGCTGAATTGCCAATCCCAACTACAACCACTCGTTTGCCTTCGAATTCCTCTGGCCTCCGGAAAGCCTGGCTGTGCATAACCTTCCCCTGGAACTCCTCAAGGCCTGGAAACTCTGGGACGTTAGGGTTGTTGAACATCCCAGTGCAGATCATCACAGTATCAAACTCCTGGCTGAACTCCTCCACGTGCCCAGACACTCCTTCCGCTTGGCTAGTGACGACCCATCGCCCAGTAGCCTCATAGTCAGGTGCCTGAGCCAAGCGGGTCACTCTCGTAGAGAAGCGGATGTGCTTCTTGAGGCCAAACTTGTCGGCGTACATGTCCAGGTACCTCTTCATGTAGCTGTGGTGCAGAAAATTTGGCCACTCGCCTGGAAAGGGGAAGTCGCTGAAGCTCGTCACCTCTTTGCTGGTGTTGGTAATGGTCGATTTGTAGACCGTGGTCATTATCCCGTATTCACTGTTTTCGCGGTAGTACCACAGACCACCAATGCCATCTGACCTCTCGAAGCACGTTGGTTGCAGGCCTTCGTCCAGGCAGCACTTGACTGCAGTTAGGCCAGAAATTCCACAGCCGATGACGGCAACTGTCTTACTGCGTTCACTCATCTGCAAAGTCAAATCGTAGCATTTGGTCAGGCATGTCGATGAAAGAGAATGGAACTTCAGATAAAATATTCATATGAATTTCTTTGGGGAACTAACCCACCGGGCCGGTTTTTATGTGCAACCTCTATGAGAGCTAGAACACGGCGAAAAAAAATCATTAAAAACGGGCCCATTTTCACATCTGTTGCCACCACTTCATTATTCGACAGAGTATACCTTAGATCTCACTACAGTATGACCCTAACAAACTACTCTTTTAGAAAATGAAAGAAAAACTGAATAAAACACTGAGTTTCACTCGCGAATTGATGTTAAACACTGCATTTTTAGTCAAAAATCTCCCTGTTTTATGTGTAAACCACGCGTTCAGCCAAGAACTGGGCCATTAACATCATCACAAAGTTAAATAGCGCAACCTGGGAGCTTAGATCTTTCGAGTAGTTTTTCTTCGTCTCGTCAGCTTTCCAACAGTATAACCCTTATTGTGATTGGTTGAGGTTTAGGCTCGTGTGTATTCATTTACAAAATAAATGTTCATCTAAACTCCAATAAAATTTGCCGTTGCTCATGGCTCAGCGCGTAGGGTCTGTTAATTGTACACGTGCTAGGCAGCGCTAGTGTACAGTATATACACCACACACACACACAGCCCGGGAGCTCTTATCTCTGTGTCCAAGTTCATCTGGCTGTGCGCTTTGGCCGGTTTACATGGGGTCCTTTTGACCGCAATGGATTTGATATGTTTACGGAACCGGACTGATACTTATATAGCCATGCTTTATTTAAATATTTACTACTGAAAATAGATGTAATCTAAAGATCGCAAATTTCTATTGAACGCGTGTTTTTAGAAAAAGTTGTGAAATCTACAGAAAGCTTCGTAGCCAGCCGGCATTGTTTGGTACTAGACTACGTGTGAATGCACCAGGCCTTACGGCAACGAGCACAAATGCATGCGTGACCCTAGCATTGCCAATGTTATGAAGGAATTCTATAAATGACATTACTCAAAAAGCGATTTTATATTAAAAAAACATGCAATGCAAAGCCACACATTAATAAAGCGAAGTAAACCCATTTTGTATCTGACTTGTACAGGCTAAGTCAGAAAGAAAGTGACCTAGATTAATGATGTTTTCCCCCTTAATGTTCTGAACGAAATGATGTTAATCGGAGTTAAGATCATTTAAAAGAAGGATACAAACATCCACCTAACTACCCTTTATGTAGAATTCTTGTGTTATTTGTGCGAGAACGACTTTCGGGGTCCTCTTTTGCGACACCAAAACGTCAGGCTGTTCGTGCTAGTTGTGATTCCAGCCATAAGGGTTCGCCTTTTGCGGACGTGTAAAGAAATCACATTTTATACTTGCAAAAAACAAGATTTGCCAAACACATTCTTGCAAAAAACAAGATTCGCCAAACATATACATGTACATCCAAAAAACAAGACTTGCTAAACATATACATCAACAAAACAAGACTCGCCAAATATATACATCCAAAAAACAAGACTTGCTAAACATAACATCCAAAAAACAAGATTTACCAAACATATACTTGCAAAAAAGCTATTTATACATTCGATGGCACTAACGGGCTTTCGTACTATAAAGGCTACTAATGCAAATAGTACGCCATAATAAAGGTTGAAATTCAATAACCTATACCTTTTTTTTTGTAATATAATTCCAGGGGACAAGGGCACTAGGCAGAATCAGTCTGTTCTGAGTTCACATTATCCCGTGGATGGAAAACAAACCGCATACACATTTTTTTTCTTCCGAATAATGTTCAAGCTAAAATGACTGAGATTCTTACCTTGTATGTTGAGATTTTGCTGTGCGTGAACCTCAGCTATAGCAAAAAATGAAGTGTTTATATCAATCGCACGCTACGCAGTGCACGGGCAACAAACATATAATGGAGTTCCGGCAAGTTCCGGCAACTCCAGACAACATCGGGCAGACCAAGATCAATGTCTAGGGTTCTCCAAACCTCGGCATACTTTCGGCTTCGGCTTCTGGAGCCTGTTTTAGGCTCCTGACTTGTTCGTTTTCGATCAATGAATTGTCCAAATCCTGCTTCGGGAATGTTAAATTCACACAAAGTATTCGCCACGATAGAGAGAAGGTTCATTTGGTTTGGACAAGTCGGAATAATTTGGAGTAGGCGATGAAGTCGCCAAAGCTGGGAAGACAGAGCCGAGTTTTCGCAAACACTGATCATCAACCGTTGCTAGTTCGCCAGAGAGCCACATTTTCTGCAAGTCAAATGTGTCAAATGCGCTTTTGAAGTAAGTGAGCAAAGTTCAAGCTAGACTCAGTTAATGTCACAGTTTATTGCAGTTTGAATACCATTTTCTGCACGATGATTGATCGATTGACTAGTGCATATATACCAGCCGTCGAGTATGAAGGGCGCGCTTTTGTTCGACGAGATAGGCATGAATTCTGAGTGATACTTGCTGCTGAATAACATGCAATTCAATATAAATTGCACTCGAACGTTGTCGTTAGCAATCCACGAACCTCGTCAGATATCCGTGAGAGTTGCGGACCAAGGAGATGTCATTTTTGTTTGATTGGTATAATTATTATAAATGTATCTGCGATAAGGCGACTGTTTTCTAGGTCTACCTTTGAAATACATATGTAGTGCTAGTATCGCCTGGTATATTTCTTCAGTGATCTATAACCTGGGGCAGATTTACGTTTGTCTGGGGACTGAGCGTATAATCGTCAAACGATTAGTATATAGCAGGCATGTGTGTTTTTATTCTTTTTCTTTTGCGGCCATATTAGGGCGATCTAGCCGCCATATGGTTGCGAGGGTGAAGCTTGGCTGGTTGTCAAGTAAAGCTAATCTGATTACGTACTTAGATGCTTTAACAGAGCAGTGAAATTCGCGAACCCCCAAAAAACATGGCCTTTTGAACGTTGTGTTTCTCAGAAAATATGCTCAGTATGATTGAAATGTTAAATTATCACGGAAGAAGACATTCTAAACTTCATGTCAGTGAGAAAAATCGCCGTCATCGAAGCCGAAACCTCAATACTGGTTACTGGTAAAGCAGACCTTCAAATCTATGTATTTATATCAATTTCTAGGAATTTACGAAAGTCGTTATTTCACGAGTAGTTGAACACTTATATCATCTAAGTATATTCCGAATTTCAGCTTAATCTGTTGGTGCTAAAGCTTGTGTTACAGCTCAAAATATCTCTAAGGAAAATCTCGACGAATATTTTTTTCGACCCAACCCACTTGCATGGTTTTCATAGCGCCGTACGCAAAGTTTAACTGAGCTAGACTCAGTTCGTGTCGCAGCTTTACGCAGTTTGAATGCCATTTTCTGCACGGGATGATTGATCGAGGGACGTAATGCATACCTGGTCTATGTAATAGACCATATGGCCATGGCGAATTAGCCGACCATGGTCTATTATACGTAAACAGATTCGGCGATTATTTATGCAACTAGACTGCGTTTACAGATCCATATCTGTAAACACTGCAGCATCTGAGTTTGTAGACATTTTAGCTTCTCTAAAGTTAGGAGTAAAGAATGTGCCAAAGTATCAGGGGAACTATTTCAAGGTCTGTTTCGTAAATCTATGAAGACGACAGGACTCAGGTAAAACTCCTGGAACCTTTCCCAACGCTGATAATTCTATAAGGGTGCAGACCAGTAAATCGGTCCGAAATTGCCTACGACAGTGGTTTTTTTCAGGGGGGGGGGCGGAACCTGGGGGGGGGGGGCAGCGTTTCAAAAGGGGTCAGCAATGGCGGTTACGCAACAAATGCGCCCAAAATCTGAATGGGGCCGATGGACCGTCGTCCGATCACAGCAATTTCGAACGAACAAGGGGGGGGGGGTAATTTGGGGTCGGAAGGAGCAAAAACGTAATTAACTCCCGTTGGGGGCGCCTTCAGCAAGGTAGCCGCAAACAGAGGGCTTGTTTTCAGGCCAGAAATCGCAGTCAGAGATTTTTTTTCTCGCAATTTTTTGATGAAATATCAGTCATCCATCCTGGCCTTCCTCGTGCTGTACAAGTGGTTTGGAGAAATTTTTCAAAACCTCGCTTCTTTATAATTTCAAAATGGCGCCTTCCATCGTTTGTTGTCAAATGTTTGCGCAGGCGCTTTACATTCCACGACAGTGGTTTTTTTTCAGGGGGTCGGAACCTGGGGGGCTGGCAGCGTTTCAAAAGGGGTCAGCAATGGCGGTTACGCAACAAATGCGCCCAAAATCTGAATGGGGCCGATGGACCGTCGTCCGATCACAGCAATTTCAACGAACAGGGGGGGGGGGGGGGTAATTTGGGGTCGGAAGGAGCAAAAACTTAATTAACTCCCGTTGGGGGCGCCCTACAGCAAGGTAGCCGCAAACAGAGGGCTTGTTTTCAGGCCAGAAATCGCAGTCAGAGATTTTTTTTCTCGCAATTTTTTGATGAAATATCAATCATCCATCCTTCCTCGTGCCGTACAAGTGGTTTGGAGAAATTTTTCAAAACCTCGCTTCTTTATAGGGTGCAGACCAGTAAATCGGTCCGAAATTGCCTACGCCGGCCAAATCCGATTTGCATGCCCTCAAAATCTTCAGTATTTGAGCATGCTGTGGGCCATGAACTTGAGGGTTTGTAAAAAATATGGGTGGAAGCCGTGCACAGGACTGGGAGCTTGCAGTTCTTGTAATTTGGATGTAATTTGGACCCTAAAAGCGCTCTATTTTGCAATGGAGTGTAGGCATCGTTTTTCAAAATGGCGATGGGCTTCAGGACTATTTTCAGGGGTGATCATTTTCAGATGGAAATTTCTCCTAAAAGTCATCAGTTGACCCCCCAAAAATTGAAGAGAAATTGAAAGATGATGAAATAAGCTTTAATTTGATGGGTGTCTCGAACACCTTGGAGAGTTGTGAGTATTTTCCCGAATTTTTGAAGTGGGAGCATTTACCATTGGGGTCTATGGAAGTTTATTTACTGGTCTGCTACCTT